CCCCCGGAAGGTCAGGGGTTTAAGGCAATAATAATATTTACGGTCAGATTAGCACTCAGGAGTCCGCCTTAGGGCCCTAGGCGGGGTCCAGAGGGCAGAGCCCCGGAAGTTCAGGGGTTTTAGGCATTTAATTACGGTCAGATGAGCATTATTTTGATACCTAATTGTGACACTGGCAGGTCCCTAATTGGCGTGGGGTTCAGGGGTCGGAGCCCTTGGAAGCCCAAGGGTTTTAGGCACTCAATTACTCTACCTCATCGTATGGGAAATGTTGTTTCCACAGAGTTTTTGGATAATCTAATTACAAAAATAATGATAACATTCAAGAGAGTGCGTTTCTATCTACTAGTGGGTGTTTTTAAAGTTTTTAATTTAGGCACAGGCTTTGGAGTTATAGTTTAATGGATTTTGTCTGACAATTTTTCTTGGGTTATGTAAAATGGATTTCAAGTTTAAAGATAATAGTCACGTTTGTATAGAGCTCCTATGTGTCTAAACGCCTTACATATTACCCCGGTCATTGGATTCCATTGCTAACAAAAAGTCGTGTATAGATTTACTAGGAGATCCTCTCCGAAGCCGCTATCAATGTTATTGGAGACAGTCGAGTTATGGTACGTTGTTCCTTAATCATGGTCTATATAGCTTTTTGAGCAAATGCTGAACCGTGTATAATATTTTGATTATGATCTACGCGTAAAAACACATACACATATCAACATATAATTTAACTCGTGATTAAAAATGTGGATTTTCTATACCTTCACATTTTGTCTCATTTACATAATTATAGATAGAAATTTTCTTGGCCACAGAAACATACTCTCCTTTAAACACAAGTGCCATATGGTATTATTTTATCTCCCATGTAAATGAGACAAAATTTGAAGGTATAGAAAATCCAAATTTTTAATCACGAGTTAAATTATATACACATATCAACATATAATTTAACTCGTGATTAAAAATGTGGATTTTCTATACCTTCACATTTTGTCTCATTTACATATAGATAGAACTTTTCTTGGCCACAGAAACATACTCTCCTTTAAACACAAGTGCCATATGGTATTACTTTATCTCCCACGTCATTGATGGCTATTAGGTGGTTATTTTACCTGACTGCTTAAAAAGCATAAATGCTTGTAAGTAAGCAACCAGACGCCCGCCCAGGCGCGGATCCAGGATTTCTTGGGGGGGGGGGGGGGCCCAAATTTGAAATTATGCAATCCAAATATTGGTACGTAATGGTGACCAGCAGTGATGTAATTGGGGGGGGGGGGGTGGGTGCAGGGAGGGACGAGATTTCCCCCTCCGTCCTTCGCGAAGCACGGAAGCTTTGACATTTCAATAAATTATTAGAGATAGACGATTCGTTGTACCGTTCCCAAAAATAATCCTCGTCTGAATTATGTTCCCCCCCCCCCTCCTCACGCAGAAGCTTTTACGTTTCATTAAATCATTAGAGAAAGAAGACGATTCGTTGTGTCGTTATCGACTCTTAATCTTCGTCTAAATTCAGGTTCCCCTTTCGCGCGAAGCGCGGAAGATTTTACGTTTCATTAAATTATTAGAGAAAGAAGACGAATCGTTGTAACGTTTTCGACTCTTAATCCTTGTCTGAATTTCAAAATGTTCTTTGTCTACTCCCTTTTCCTTTTCACTCCTCTCTTTTTTTGGCCGGCATTTTTTGGGGGACCACCCCACCGCCCCCCTGGCTACGCGCCTGCGGTCAGATGAATATGTTGATACCTTGTCCGCCCCGGAAGCTCAGGGGTTTAAGGCAATAATTTACGGTCAGATTAGCACTCAGGGGTCCGCCTTAGTGCCCTCGGCGGGGTCCAGGGGCAGAGCCCCCGAAGTTCAGGGGTTTTAGACATTTAATTACGGTCAGATAAGCATTATTTTGATACCTAATTGTGACACTGGCAGGTTACTAATTGGCGTGGGGTTCAGGGGTCGGAGCCCCCGGAAGCCCAAGGGTTTTAGGCACTCAATTACGGTCAGATGAGTATCAAGGCGCCCGTCTTAGGGCTCTTTGTCGGGTCCAGGGGGCAGAGCCCCCGGAAGTTCAGGGGTTTTAGGTGTTTAATTACGGTCAGATGAGCATTTTTTGATACCTTATTATTTTGTGACACTGGCAGGAAACTATTTGGCGTGGGGTCCAGGCGGCAAAGCCCACAGAAATCAGGGGCTTTAGGCATTAAATTACCAACAGATGAGCATCTAAGGGCCCGCCTTAGGGCCCTAGGTGGAATCCAGAGGGCAGAGCCCTCGGGGTTTTAGGCATTTAATCATGGTCAGATGAGCATATTTTGATACCTCATTATAATGTGACACTGGCAGTTAACTATTTTTTCTTCTTTCTTGCTCTCTTTCTTTCCTTTTCTCTTTAATATACTTTTTCAAAAAAGTGGGTGGTGGGGGGGGGGGGGGGTGGGGGGTTCGAGAATCCCGATCCCCGCCATTCCGCGAGCCCTGAAATGTAGGCATCTCAAGAAGCATTTCCTTGCCTGGCTGTAAATTTAGGAGTTTGTCATTTTCCAACAAACGCATAAAAAATGTATAATATACTTAAAATTATGTCATTTCAGCATTAGTTGTAAATCACCGTTATGGAATTAGAAATAAACCACGTTTGAATTTTATTTCCCCCCCCCCCCCCGATCTACACCTTGTTGGCGGGAAAATTGCAACTGATATCCCTTACCTTTCTTCATTCTCTTTCTTTTTCTTTCCCTGTCTCTCCTCTTTTCCTTTCCCTTCCCTTCCTTCTTTCTCTTTTATGTTTGCTGGAGGAGGGCAAGGTCATTTTGGCCCCACCCCGCTCCACAATCTGTTGGCGGGAAAATTGCAACTGATATCCCCTTCTTTTGTTTTCTTCTTCCTCTTTTTTCCTTCCCTTTATCTCCTCTTCTTTTTTTATCTTTCCTTTCCTTCCTTCTATTTTTATTTTTGATTGGGGGGAGGCAACAGCCTGGGAGGCAAGTCCTTTTGCCCCACCTCCCCGATCTCCTTCATCCCTCTTTTCCTTTCTTCTTCGTCTTCTTTTTTCCCCTTTCTCTCCTCTTTCCCTTTCCCTTCTTTTCCCTCTCTCTGTCTCCTTTTTTTTTGCGGGGGGGGGGGGGGCAAGGCCCGCTCGGCCCCCCCCCCTGGATCCGCGCCTGCGTAAAAGTCCAACCTTCATGAACTGATGGTCGCACGCCAGTTATTAGATTCATCATGATTAGATGGTTTCTCGTCGACCCGTAAACCAGAGATGACATCGTAATTTTTAAACAAAATATGATATAAAATCAAATATATAAATTTGGAAATTGTCCTCATGTGCTAAATGAGGGGTTATATGCAGATCAGTTCTATGAACATGAAAAGTAGGCGTTGGTCCCAATGGGAGTTTAATAATGAGGAGTTTATTATAAGCAGCGCAAGAAAAATCATGACCATTGAGAGCATTGAAAATAGTTTTGGATTGTCTGAGTTACAGACCTTATAAAGGGAAAAGGAAATGGAAAACACCCCCTCCGTATTTTTCAGCAGGTTATAGGAATTTGTATGAACTTGTCAAGACACAAGTGTGAATGCAGTCATTGTTAACACCTCTTTTTCTTTTTTCATTTTTCATTTCTCACTCTTAACACAAAGCCCTTTTGAAAATTGAACTGTCTCGTGAACTTGTGTTTTCGATAAAAATTGACTTTTAACACGTGTGTCTATGGCATTTAGACTTAATGAATTTTACTTAGTGATTTCTTTTGGTTTTCATTTTGGACTTGTATTTTTTTCTCGATAAAAACAGACTTCCAACACATGGTTCTATGTCAATTTTGACATTTTTGAATTTTACTTAAAGATTTTTAGAAATTATTGAAGTTTTGAATAGTGGATAGGTATTTTCTTTTTGGAACTAACTTTTAACATGCGTGTCTGTGGAATTTTGACTCTTTGATTTTCTTTCTATACTTTGAGTTAGACTTTCTGAGGAATGTTTACAACGCCGTTGTATAGGTTGGATCAATATCTATTGTTCGATCAACTAAATAAAGGAATGTGTATGTGATTGATGTCAGTGCTTCCAAGGTACACGTTCTGCTGCAAGAAGTTGGAGTAAAGATCGAAAAAGCTGCGTTTGACGCCCCATAGAACTTTCACGTGAGCCTTTTCTTTAGCTTCGTCTTCATCCATTCCATCGGAAATATATTTTTGATATTTTTCGTCCCTGAGGTCCTCGGTGTTTGTCATGGCCTGACGTCCATTCATTCTCTCTCTCTCTCTCTCTTCCTCTCTCTCTTTCTCTCCCTCTCTCTCTCTTCCTCTCTCTCTTCCTCTCTCTCTCTTCCTCTCTCTCTCTCTCTCCCTTCCTCTCTCTATCTCTCTCTTCCTCTCTCTCTCTCTTCTCTCTCTCTCTTCCTCTCTCTCCCTCTCTCCCTTCCTCTCTCTATCTCTCTCTTCCTCTCTCTCTCTCTCTTCCTCTCTCTCTCTTTCTCTCTGTTCCCCTTTATTATGAATGGTGAAAAAATGTATGATCACGGTCGCAAAATACTAATTAAATCAAACTATCAAAAAAACAACCTAAGGCAATTTCATTGTCCCCTGTTAAAATTTGCGAATATTAATATTATGACTTATAACATGATTCGAAATGAAGAGGAAACTGAAATGGCCATTAGCTCGATTTCTCAACAGTCTTTGCCGTCGTGTATACTATTCAGTCGTTCTATTGCAAGTAACGACTGGGTAGATTTACTTATATCTGTCTAGGGGTAGAAGTAGTACATTTCAGTTATCTTACATTTTAAAAATTGCTCTTCGATATATTGCTTATAAATCATGATGTTAGGATAGGTTTTGTAACCCCACCGATTGGTGCATGCAAATGTCTTTCATATTGTATTATGAAAATAACGTACTCTTTAAAATAATCCAGTCTTTCTCATCGCATTATCATATACCTTCCACAACAACAATACACCAAAAGGATCACGATATGAAGCCGGCACTAGAATTTCATTTCAAATTTAATACCTAACTAATCCGCTTGCACGTCAGCATCAATGATTTTTTTTTAATAAGCAAAACGCGTACGCAGAACCAAGTAACCCTTTCGAGACGGTCATTCCACTATTTGTGTTTAGGCTTTATAACTTCTGCTTCTGATCCCTAGAAAAGATTACCAGATGCATGAGTAGAACAGGTAACAAATTCTGCACACGATGTGTCCTTGCTCGTTGAATGACCATATTGTATTTGATGCCAGGAATTAAAGGCAGCAAAGTATGTTTTAAAAATCCTTAAAAGGGCAACACATTAAAGGGTTCAAAACTAAATTGGCAATTTGTCAACTTTCCAAGAAAGTTTCTACCCATGTATATTGTTTTCAGAGACATTGCATGTTAGTAAAACAATGCAGGTTTAGAAGCAAAATGTTATTTTGATCAATATACATACATATGATCAATTTAGCCCTTAATAATTTCTGTCTTTAAAAGGGTTACGGCCAGGGACACATTATACAAAAATGTGTTAAAAGCACACACAAAAAGAGTATACAAGCCTAATAGAATATTGATTATCTTTAAATAATGAGCAGGTGTCAAAGAGGGAGAACAAAAAATACAGTTTTCTCAGGTACCTGACTGGGTTATTTTATTAGGAAATTTTGTAAACAGATATGACTGTTAAAAAAAAATCGTTGTTGAGGGAAACACTTGAAGAGAAGGTTGAGTTCTGGGACAAGGTGAAAAATAATTTGTGACCGATTTCATCGATATTATGTAAGTGTGGAAGAACATCAGAGGAGAAAAAAATAAACGTTACCTAGGCTCAGTTAAAAACGAAACATGTCAAGCATATTTGTAAATGCATTATCATTAATCTGATCTACTACAAATATTTGACACAAGAGTACTAGAAATAATAACTAACATGACTTGAAATTTCTATTGGGCAAGGTATGGGAACCCCGTGTCTGCGCACCTAAGGTTTGACTGGAAATTAAGCAAGTCTTTTCTTTATCATTCCTTTAATACTGTACTTGAGCTTACTAAAACAGTATGTGTGTAAAAAGTGTCGCCGAATTTTTAACAAGAAACATTGTCATTTTCACTAGAAAAGACCATCACGTTATATTGACGTTCAAAAGCAGAAGTTTCCCATTTTTGGCACATTCGATTTATACGCAATTTGGGATTTTCGTCATCAAAATGGACATTAAAAGAGAACTCGAGGAAATTTGATTTGTCTGAAGTGTGTACATGATCATACCGAGGTTATAAGAAATTAAGTCGTGTATCTTCAAAACATTATTTGCGTCAAAGAGTTCATGAGTATGAGCGCAGAAATTGGCGTAACATGTGATTCACACTGCTTTCTTTCTATCAAGTTGAGTATTTCCACAGGAAATTTTATTTTTCTGAGGTGGGTACATGAGTATTTCCACAGGCGCCCCATATGCGAGGAGTCCATAATCCAACCAAGCAAGTACTAAATTCGACTACAATTTAAGCAGTATACGAGATGGAAATACAATTTTTCCTTGTTCAGAATACCAATTTATTTTTAGAGAATATTTTAAAAACATAATTAACATGCAGCTTCCATGAAAGTTTATCATCTACTATTATTCCAAGGAACTTCGTATAAGAGACATCGTGTTTAATAGTATTATCAAGTCCAATATTTCTTGGTAAGTTATCAATAATATAACTAAATAGCATATAATTTTATTTCATTTGTAATTTCGATGACAATTTAATTGCCTTGATCCAGTCAGCAACTACTCGTAATTGAGAGTTAATCGTTCTGAGTAAGATGTCTCGGTCTTGATTAGTAAATTCGTTAGCAAACAAATTGAAAGACAAGGTTGTTCTGGACATGTCAAATTCATTAATATACAATTAAATACAATATATGCGAAAATAGCATGAATGATTGTATAGTATGCTAATGTTGATAATGTACTGAAATGTAATAATGGCATGAAGCGCTTAAATCTTCGTCAAAACACACATTAGTCCAAATCCGGCTATTAGACAAGTATATTTCAGCAGCCGATCACCTTTCCCCGCTAATTCAGCAGGGAGAAGTTCCACAAACGTCACAAACATAAATGTCCCAGTGGCTAAACCTTGTAGGATGCCATTGACTAATAGAGCATCAGCGTCGACGGACGGATCAGCGAGTGGAATGCCGATACCGATGCCGATTGGGGACGTGAGAGAGAAGATGATGAGGCAACTCCACTTGAGAACATGTCGTCCTGGTAGTTGAGCGAACCGAAGGAGAACGGTGAAACTCTCGATGCCCTTATGGATAGAGATGGCAATCAACAGGTCTATGGTGTCCTGCTCCTCAAGCTGAAGACCAAGGGCTAGCCCTTCGAAGAGGCCGTGTAAGGAGAGTGAAAAAAGGAGGACGATGGCTCGGAAAGAAGTGAGAGGCTGGAGGACGGTAATCGATGCTTCGCTTTGACACTCTGAAGGCGATTGTTGACGCAGCGCCCCGTAGTCGCCATGGCCATCGGTGTCCGATTCTCCGGTTGTGGGCTTAACCGGGTGAGATGTGTCAGATGCGGTATTATCAGTTCTCTCTGAGCTCTCCAGGCACCACATCACCAACTGTTCCACGAACACAACGAACAGGAAGCCCACACCAGCCGTGAAGCCAGTCCAGTCGAAACCCATGGCCATTCCGCCCCCTTCTACTTCACCGCCGTGAGTGATGTTCAGCGCCTTGTCGAAAATCATCCTCACATCTGGAAGGAGATGAACGAGTGCGATGCTCAAGAATATTCCAGCCGCGACTGAGTTTAGTAGACTGATAACACGTCTTGTGATAGCGCTTTCTGCCATTCCTCGCGAATGGGATCTTATACAGCATAGTGGTATTAATCCTCCAACAAATGCTATCACAAAGAGCAATCCAATGCCTAGGCCTTTCAGAGCAACGATATCCATCCTTTTCTAGTTCAGAGTGCTCAGTTTCGTGTTAAGATCGAAAAGAGTCTTCGAACTAGTACTAAAAGTGCTCTGATATTCTACGTCTGGATAGGTCACAGACCGCTACTAACAGGAGCGTACGCATGGGGGGGGGGGGCGCAAAAGTAGTTATAGCAGTGAGTTCCGGGACGGCCATAGGTTTTGTACACAAATTTTTTCGTACTTGAGTGTCTATGGAATTTTGACTCTTTGACTTCCTTTCTACCGGTATTGTTATAAGACCGTGTATAAACTTCCACGTTGTTATAATAACCACACAGGAGGCGTGACTTGAATAGCTTCCCTTTAATAGTTGTGGCGCTGTAAAGCACATTCAACAATCGTGTGAATCCTGTAAAGAAACAAAAATAAACAAAGAATGACTATTGATTCAAAAACCCATATTGTTCCTTTTTCCTTAGATTACATTCTTTGTAAGCAAACTAGAGTAAGTACATGACCTACAAGGGTGTATTTCAGTTTAAGACTATAGTGTAAAGCAACTAGAAGTAAAGATCCACATTCGAACTATTCATTTCACTTCTATACTCTAATTAATAGTGTCTTCTTTAAGCAAAATAAAATGTGTTGTTTTGTCTCATTTCTGAATTACATAAAAACTCCATTCAGCATACTATAAATCACATTACAAAAATCCCCTTTTCAAATAACTCGATATTACCTAGGGCGACATAAACAAGACTAACCGTAAGGCGAATCACTAAACCTGGCGTCTAAAAATATCCCTCCGCTATATAATATGTACGTATAAGTACTACAATTCACTGAAGTCCTAAAATAGCGTAAGAAATATAGGTCTCACGTGTCATCCCGAATTTATGAAATATAACACCAAAACAATAATGAACGTCTCCAGATAACTTGTAAACTATCATGAGACATTTCAGCATCTCTTACACTTCCTTGAAGTATATAACCAAGAATTATTTTACAAATTATCAATCACTTTCACAAGTACCGCAAGCACAGTCAAAACCAATACCAATACCAATACGGACCTTTAGTTTTACCACTATCCAAACTTCAAAAGAGGCCCAAATTTGTCCTACAAACCTCAAAAACATTAAAGATACACGTACAATCCTAGCATAACATACACTCATGAGAATAATAGCACGGAATTAAACATACCTTCAGTTTTTGCATATAAATGAAGGAAAAACTAGGATCAACCGGCATGGTTGATGCAGGGCATGTGAGTTAAAGTTCATCTCCCTGGCCTGGTTGATGTACTTTCGTACGGTCTTGTTTTGGTATGGTATGCGCTGATAGTCTCAGCTCAGGTAAAAAGGGTAATTATTCTGCCGCGTAACAAATACGGGAAAAAATAATGTCATGCCTTCCCAGGTATACTTTGTGTTTGACTTTCTAAGGAACGTGTACAACGCTGTTGTAGGTTGGATCAATATCTATTGTTCGATCAACTAAATAAAGGAACGTGTAAATACCACTGATCTCTACGGAAAAATCCGTAGAGATTTTTCCGTAGAGATCAGTGGTAAATACCCGTACTGTGATCCTCGCATGGCAACACGAGGAAGCGTATTGCAGCCTAATTATGTAATGGGTATTGATTTTGTATAGGTCTAGTCTCTTTTGTATTTGAATTACCTCTTTTCAGCAATAGTACCGTTGTTTCTTATTGATCGTGTATTGAGTTTATGAAACTCTCAACAGACTTTCGACAAATGAAGCTTGTTTTACTCCGACCTGTTTATACCGCCGAGTTCTTTGGACTTTCACGCAACACTTTGATATATTCAGGGCTATGTTTGGACTCTCTCAAAACATCATCAAAATAGATTTGAATACAAAGATAAGAATTAAAATTTCGTCATGTTACTAGGGAACAGAGATAAAATATACGAAACATTTTTAACTAGAGAAATAGAACCCAAGTCACATTATTGTATTATTTCTTCGTAAATATTTTTTTTTTAAAACTTAACATAATTATTGTACAGCAAACATACACACCGTAAATTCGTAGTTTAGCGCCGTAACATGCCGAAACGCCGTAATATACGCCGTAACGCCGTATCGTTATATCCACAACGCATTTGACGTATCATCCATCTCTATGCTTAATCACCAACTTTTCTAGAGCACCCAAATGTCTTTTTGAGGTCTAACAGTAACACTCTATCATTCACTCCGTAACTCTATTCATACTTTCACCATCTCGACTCTATTTCATACTTTCACCATCTGGACTCTATTTCAAGCGCGTAGCCAGGATTTCATTTTAGGGGGGGGGGGGCGGTAGTGAGCACGCGAAGCGTGCGAATCACTTAAAGAGCGCGCATAGCGCGCTCCCTAGGGGGGTGGGTGCAAGGAGGGGGGAGTTTTCCCCCTTCGCGCGAAGCGCGGAAGCTTTGAAAGAAGACGATTCTTGTACCTTTCTCGACTCATAATCCTTGTCTGAATTCAGTCCGCCCCTCATGCGCATAGCGCGGAAGCTTTGACGTATTATTAGACAAAGAAGATGATTGTACCTTTCTACCCTTAATCCTTATCTGAATTCAGTTTCCTCCCCTCCCGCGCAAAGCGCGGAAACTTTGAAGTTTCATTAAATTATTAGAGAAAGAAGACGATTCATCGTTCCGTTCTCCACTTAATCCTTAATTTGAACTCAATTTCCCCCTTTACGCGCGAAGCGCGGAAGCTTTGACGTTTTATCAAATTATTAGAGAGAGAAGACGATTCGTTGTACCGTTCTCGACTCCTTTTTCCCTTTTTCTTCCTACGTCCTCTTCCTTTTTTCTTCTCTTTCTCTCTCTTTTTTTTTTCTGGCCGGCGTTTTTTTCGGGGGGGGGGAGCGACCGCCCCCAACGCCCCCCCTGGCTACGCGCCTGCTCTATTTCATACTTTCGCCATCTCGACTCTATTTCATACTTTCACCATCTCGACTCTATTTCATACTTTCACCATCTCGACTCTATTTCATACTTTCACCATCTCGACTCTATTTCTAGATACTTTCACCATCTCGACTCTATTTCATGCTTTCACCATCTCGACTCTATTTCATACTTTCACTATCTCGACTCTATTTCATTCTTTCACGTGTTAGGTTGGATCTCAAAAGCAAATAAGAATACAAAGAGATACATAACAACGGTAAAAAAAAAAATTTACACAATGAACTTATATAGATGAAACTAAACAGAGTGTGGTACATCAATAAATGCACTATTACAGGCGCGGATCCAGGATTTCTTAGGGGAGGGGGCCCAACTTTTTTTTTTTTTTTGCTCCCGAAAATTTGAAAATCGCGACGGCCGAAAAGTCGCTCAGTGGGGGGGGGGGGGGGGGGGTAGTGAGCACATTTTTTTTTTTGGATCCTCAAAAAAATTTCAATTTGCACCCCCCCTTGAGCGCCAGGGGGGGGGGGGGGCCCAACCCCCAAAAATCGTAAAAATCACGTGATTTTACATGATTTTTTTCTCAAGGGGGGGGGGGGGGGGGCCCGGGCCCCCGGGCCCCCCCCCCCCCCTGGATCCGCCACTGCACTATTATATGGTTGCTAAAAGCAGAGTATTTCCCTCACTTCACCGTAAATGATGTTGATGGGCATAATTTTACAATCTGCATAAGTCTAATCAAATTCTCCCTTTCTTGATCACGTCCAGAGCTAAAAATGCAATAGAACCACGTCATGTTCACGAAAACACATTGATGTAGCCAGTGGCGATTTAGAGAGGACCCGGCCACCAGTACGTTTGCCAAGGTATTCTGACCAACATGGTGGGATTACCAACGCCAAAGGGTACCCATGGGATAAGGTATTACTTCGCGGTGTAGGTGTCTCATTAGGCGTGTCTGTACTATCTCGAGATTGCCAAATATCCAGCTATTTGAACTATCCCGATCGCAAACTATCCAGCCAATTTGCGTCTTCATTTGAACGAAGTAGCAAATTAGCTGGATAGTTGGTCGGGATAATATCCCAAGATATCTCGGTCTAGTTTGCAAAATATCCCACTATTTCCGAACTATTTGGATATTTGACTCCGTACTTCGGTCTAATGAAGACGGTCGCAAACTATCCCGCTAGTTCGGAAATAGTGGGATATGTCGGAGACATATTTTTGATATTTTTCGTCCCTGAGGTCCTCGGTGTTTGTCATGGCCTGTTCTAACCATTCTTGATAAGCAAGGTTGTCTTCAGGTTCGTTCATGTCAGGTGTCTCTAGCTTTGACGATGCATCCTCTCCTTCACTTTCTGAATCACTTGTTTCAGATTCATCGCTAGATTCTACAACTCTTTGCTTTTTAGAGGGTGGTTCGGAGAAATCATCTTCACTAGCTTCTTCACCAGCGTTGGAATCTTCGGTCTCGTATCCATCATCTTTCATATCAGGATGTACATTCTGTGCGTGCCTCTTCATGTCGAACTTACGACTATAGGTCCTATCGCATAGTGAACAAGCGTGACGCTTGGACATATCGAACGTATTCGTGTTGACCCGTTGATGTTTAAATCGGAACTGATAGAAAGGAAATTGAATCTACTTTATAATTGTATAGTTTGTCTTTTTTTCGTAACCACGTAGTATAACGCCGTAAATCCGCAATTTACGCCGTAACGCCGCAACTTAACGCCATAACGCCGCATCGTTATATTCGCAACGCCGTTTACGGATCATTCAGCTTTATTTTTTTTCCTCCATTTTTGGACCCTCCAACAGGCCATTTTATTGAAAATCAATCCAGGAGTTATCAATCTCCAAATAACATATTTGAATACAAGTCATGTACCAATGAATATCATATAATAGTTCAGAATAAGATATACATAACGAATATCAACCAATAAGCGATTATTGAAACCGTAGCATATTGATAACAATGATGATAATACTGTATATACAGAACATACATGTATATTAGGGAAAGAAAAAAAATTAAGAATGCAACAACATGACTGAAAATGATGTCGGAAATACAATATACTCATACTAAACGATCAAAATCAGTCTCAAAATTTATCAATTTTTTATCGAACTTGATTTGTCAGTTTTGTTAGCAAGTATACAAACTTGCCTCTCATTTGTGTAACTATTCCTGATACATTGTTTTATTGTCCGAAAGGACGGTACAGACTTTTGTATTCGAGAAAAATATTATTGTTGTTTAGTCCAAATTATTATACAGTTTAAAGCATCATTTCTTTTTTCAATAAACCTAACAAAACGTGTATTAAGGACAGTTTTATTCTATAGCGTGTTACAATATTTAACCAGTCAGTCAAACAACTCCAAATCAATTTGGTCACGTTACAGGAGTAAAAAAATCGTGTACCATATCTTCTTCTTCTCTTCCACAAAG